ACTTTAGGCCTTAATAAGCCCAGCCTAAAATATTCAACCTCCACAGTCAGTTTTGAAAAATGTTTGGAGCACAACAAGGTCTTGGGGTGACGTTGAGAGAATATGTATGATGGGGTAGTAATGATGTCCAAATATTTATGTAATGAATCGACACCCTGAAATTTGGTGTGGAACACACTTAAAAAAAAAACGACGGTTTGGAGAAGTATAAAACTTTTTTTTTTACATTTTGAAAGCTGGGGTGATTATGGGTTTGCATCAGTCACTCCTAACGCAAGTTTTTCAGTTGCATTCCTGTTTCAGTTTCTTGAGCCGTCCTCCTGACTTGAAAAGCGCTATGTAAATACTATTTGTTTGTTGTTATTTTGTTTGAAACAACTATTGTGATATGTTCAAAAAATCACTTTGCAGGGAGAATAATAATAGTATGTATTTGATATAGTGCCTTATCATGTCGTTGAGACATCATTGAGACGTATCAAAGTCCTGTGTATTTTAAAAATTGATGAAAGGTCTGACCTGTATCGTAAACATACTCCAGGAATATACAGAAGTTTAACAGTACATTAAGTATATTAATATTTATACCAACAAGTTCTCTTTAAGACCTCTACACTGACTGACATGAGAATCAGAACATATCTCACAAACAATAAAAAATAAAATAATGTATCAATACCAATAGCAAGCAAAATAGTGTAATTTAAATGCGTATTTGTATAGTTACTTTATTCCTATTTAGTCCTTAAAGCCCTGTCAATATATGCATTTGTTATAAATAAAGTGGAACCTTATTTTGTGGACATTTTAGTAATCAGGACAACTCCCTATTCAAGCTACTGTCTAACAATCCTGTTATATTTCATTTGAAACTGAAGGTGGCTCAAATCCCGAAGTGACTGATGAGGGCACAAATAGGCCAGTCTATTGACTGCACGTAATAGCGAGTTTCCACTTTGCTAACACAGTCAACAACTTAATCATTTGTGGTCAAAGCGATGTTGATATTATTGATATGATGTTGATATATCAAAAAGATGGACACTCTGAAAGCAAATGCTTGGCTGAGATTCCTGCAGTCAAAATGGTTTTGAAGGTATTCACCAACTTCTCAGGAATGGTACAGAATGTGCTTATAACTTGATTTTTCTTCCTCCAGCAGTGGAACACTGATTGACTTCCTCGAGGGTATCAGCTTGTAGTTACAGACCCTAACAGTGTCAGTGACCTTAATTAACATCAGGAGAGATAAAAGGCATTAACCCAGGGTTTCAGCTTCAGCTGTGTGGCAGGTTAGCCCAGCATCCTCAGGCTATTGAGCTCAGTAAATCTTCCAGAGCAATACACACATGCTACCATGACATGACATTTAGATTCAGTTTGAAACCCGAAAAACTCCAACCCCCAAAAAAGAACAAAAAGAGTGATTAAGTTGAATATAATAATAATCCTTGCATTTGATACAGTGCCTTATCACGTCTTCTAGACATCTCAAAACGCTTCACAGAATATACTGTAAAATGTATATTTTGTGGGCCAATTTTGTAAATGATAAGTTTAACTATAAAAAGGGTTGCTGAGTGGTCCAAGTGAAGAAAAGCAGTGTACACCACCACTAGAGTTGCATTCTTTCTTCAGATTCCTCAAAAGATGTTAGCAAATCTATGAAGCTGAATTCCTTTCCAGTCTTACTCTAAACTGGTCTATCGTATCGGAACTGATATTAACACTCAATCCGTGGGTGGGTGGCTCGCACTGCAAAGCAATCCAGGTCTGAATTAATTAAATCAGAATCTCAACATTTTAGCCTTAAGGCCGTCAAATTAAAATTTAGGATTGTGTGAATTTTGGAAAAGTCTTAAATTCAGTCTTAATTAGGAAGCCATGTTTCTGCAGATTTTGATTGAAAATAAATGCAGTACAGCATTGTGGAACAAACTATTGTGATATGTAAAATCAGCAGAAAAATTGGATTCACCTGACTGGCCTGGTTGCTTTCAAGAGATGTAATTTCACAAGTTAAGTAGGTTTCTGAGTGTTTCATTCAGGTCTCTTCCAACAGAAACCTGGAGGAAAGTGGTTGAACTGTACATGTATGGAGGAGGAGGAGGCTGGAATAAGGTTGAGATCTTTTCATGGTTAAGATCAATTACAGAAGATCAAACAGCTTAGGCCATCATTTTTCATTTCAGAGACAGCGACATCTCTACCCTCCTTATATCATAACTAATTAATCATGCAATTTAAATAACATGGACAGGATGTAGCACAAGATCTGGACAGCTTTCAAAACCATTATCTGGAATGGACATAAAAAGGGATTTTAAGGAAGGTAAACTCAGGCAATATTAACGATTAGTGAATGAAGACTGGCACCTGTGATTCGGGCTCAAAGTGCAATGGTACTAAAGTGTTGAACCCAGTACTTGGGAGCACCATCGAGCAGGGCTGAAAAACTTTACAAGGGAAGAAATGTATGTGTTCATAAAATATGACCACTGTGCTTGTAAAACATTAATCTTGCATTTGATATAGCCTTATTGTGTCTTCGAGACGTCTCAAAGCGCTTCACATAATATACTGTAAAATAAATTGACTGTATATTTTGTAGGCGAAACGTGGCAGCCAATTCGCACGGCAGTGTTTCACAAACAGTCGTGGATTGAGTGACCAAATTCTTATTATCCCCGGAAAAGCGATCCACAAATCGACTAACAACCAGATTCCAACTTGCTCCTCGGTAAACAGAGGCATTTGGAGTAAGGAAACTTGCCCAACAACATAAGCCTGTTTAAAGTTATAAGAGAGATAGACTGAACATTTACAATACTGATTCCTTTCACAACTCCTACTTGGCTAGTTTTAAATTCAGCTGAAATATCCAAATATCAATTTCTAATTAGTTAATTTAACACCTCGCAAAACATTTTGCTCACTCTTAAAAATCCTGTTTTCTAATTCAACTGTAGAGATGGGATGTGAAGGGAACATTTACCTGGTGAAGTGATCTTTGTGTGCTAAAGATGTGTTGACTGATGATAGCGACAGAGCATTTACAGCAGTGACTCAACCAATGATTGGGGTGGGAAAAGGAAGGCAGAAATTTGAAATTAAATGGCTAAGAACTAAAATTATGGTCTAAAGTTTTTGATCTTAACTAGGATTTTCACTTTAGAGAGTTAATCCTAATGACAGGTCACATTGCTTACTGCAATTTTTTAACATCGAATAATGATGATCTCAAGTAGGGTTTTAAGTCATGATACTGTAAATGGATCCTAAATAGGCTCAGCTGCAATAACTATTGAACTTTGTTGGCAAACTCATGAAATGAAATTCTGTTGCAGAACTCTTTCCCCCCACCCACTCCCCCCAAAAAGAAATCTGATTAAATAGTAATGTGCAAATAATAAATCAAAACTTGTTATTATCCCTAAGCTGGATTTTACTGGGCCGTACATTAACGCAGGAAAATAGGAATTGATCCAGGAAAGATTTGCTTGGGATAAAGTTGAAATGATGTCACAAATTCTCAAATGTCAAATTCTCAAACCAGCAAAGTTAGTGGGTTTTCAGCTTTTTGGGAGTTTTCTGGGTGATTTTGAATCTGTGTTGACATTTAATGTATCAACACTTTCAATGGATAATTCATATGCTATCTATCTGGTCAAGGTTTACATAAACATTTTTAAGAGTTTTTTTTTCTTGGCATTTTGTTCTAAAAGGGTAGGATTTCAAGAAATGGTCAGGTATATTTCTGGTATTGTCAATATACTCCAATTTGGAAGGTGCCAATATTTAATAATCATCTCTTTAAAAAAAAGTGGTCACTCAATCCACGACTATTTGTGGGAAACTGCTGTACGCAATTGGCTGCCGCATTTCACCCACAAAATATACAGTCAAATCACTTTACAGTATATTCTATGAAGTGCTTTGAGATGTCTCGAAGATGTGATAAGGTGCTGTATCAAATGCAAGGATTATTATTATTTCCTGTTTATGCTTGTAGCCTGCAAACAAAATACAAAGCAACTTGACTGCAAACCGTTTGGTCCAATTTTAGTTGCATTTCTGTTTAAAATAGAAAAGTATTGATGATTATCCACAATTTGCCTTAAGTATATGTTAATATTATTTAGAAAATATAACCAGAGTACTATAATTCCTCTGAAGCTATAATTACTAAGTGCTTGGCTGTACTAAATCTGAAATAAAAATTGCCATCTCTTTCCAGTCTCCTGGCTTCATTTGCTTGAGTAGATTTACCACAACTGAATTCAATGTAACTGAAAGCAGGCATGGAGCAAGTGAGTTTTTTTAAAAAAAAATAAGATTACGTAAGTACAGAGTTTATTTAAATTTACTTGTGGATATTCCTAATCAATGGTACCACAAACATATAATTCTCTTAATCTCTGAAGAACATTAACATTTTGAGAACATGACTGAATGAAATAGATCTTTGGCTGGGCTTCCTTGCTAAAGAATAAAAGTGCAAGACTGTAGCAGAATGTTGTAATATTTACTATTCCCCTAATTAACATCTCAATCACATTAACCAACAATTGGTTCAAGTCGCTCGAATTCCAGAGCTATGAGATCCAAAGTCTGGCTGCCTTTGGTCAATTTCTACCTTGCTACAATAATCTGCTGCTGCTCGGATAACATTAGTCACTTCGTGGCTCTTTGTGGGACATTGCTCTGTGCAAATTGGCCACGACATTTGCCTTCAAGGTCACTACATTTTACCGTACATACTCAAGTGCTTTGAGATATCCTCCCAGCATGAAATGTGTTCTGTCAATTGTAAAGATTTTATTTTATTGAAGGAAAGAGCAATTGGAGGTGAAAGAGTGGAAAGAGATGGCAATTTTTGTTTCAGTTTGGAACAGCCAAAGACCTTTCCTGTGTATTGAATAGCAAAGCATTGTTGATTTGGCTTTAATTGGTATTGTTTAGCTCATGACCAAAGTAACCAGCTCTACCTTTGTCTTCAGATGGTTCAAGCTGGAGTCTAAACCAGGCAAGAAGTCAAAAGAAAGAGGTGAACTCCAAGTAAGCATCCAGTTCATGCGAAACAACATGACTGCAAGTATGTTTGATCTTTCCATGAAGGATAAAACGCGATCCCCTTTTGCCAAATTCAAGGACAAAATGAAAGGAAGAAAAAATGACAGCACTATTTCTGACCATTCTTCTGCAATCGTTCCAAGTACAGCTTCAAATTCGGATCAGGATGCTTTAGAAGTAGATAAGCAGCAGAAATCCAAGCCAAAAAAAACCTTCCTGTTAGGACCTCAGAGACTGTCATCTGCCCAGTCTATGTCAGATTTAACTGGTCCCCGGCAATCGTTGGAGAAGATGAAATCCAATACTGTAGGACACGTAGTCTGCAAATCCCACTCAGACTCTGCTAATTCCAATGAAGAAATGGGTAAGTCTTTTCATGAGGTAAGCGTTAATAGAACTGAATCAGCTTTGAAGGGAGTACAAACCTCTGATTAACATTTTAAAAGTGCCTAAAATTATTTCTTCATGAACTCTTAACACAAAAGGCTTCCTTGAATTATAAATTGAAAATCTTTACTTTCGGTTTGTATTAAGGCATCTTAAAGTAAATGAAATTCATTTACTTCTCTATCTAATACTCTGTCCACCTCTGTAACCTGCTGTTGACTCTTGTAATCTTGATTTCATCCACTTCCATCTCTCATCTTCACTAACCGTTTATCTCTTTCCATCTCTTTCCTTTTTACTTTCTACTTCAACTTAGGATTCAGACATGTCAGTACTTGTATTTGGTCCAATGTTGCTGCTACTTTCTTGAGTTATCTCACTTTCTGTGGCTGAAAATCTCTCCGTCACTTAACTAATGGTATCTTGTCACTTAAGCTCTTCTTTATTGGCTGAATTTGGCAATTTGTCATTGGATTGTCAGACTCTATACCGCAGAAGGATAATGATATTCATTACGTGTTCAATATAAACCACGTATAAATCCAAGTGTTTTATGTCATTTAGGGCATTCCATTAGAGAATCCCTTCTCTGGAGTGCGAGTTCGCTTTTAACCCAGGCTTTTTGTGGATCTGTGGTTCTCAGAAATACAGTAAGCTTAGGGCACAGACCAGCCAGCTTCCTGTGCTTAAAAACTGGCTACCCAAAGAAGTTTCTGATCTCAATCTTGCTACCATATGCAGTGAATCGAATTGTACTACCACATATTTAATTCCATGCTCGTCGTCCTGTCTCCTACTCCAACTTATTCTTTCCCAGGTTACGAAGATTGTAGGTCTCTTTAATTTCTCCAGTCTCCCGTTTCTGATACATTCTGCACGTTTCACCATTAAACACAAGTTTAGTATCACTTAATAGCTTCATATTGACTTCAAGCATTTTCCGCTACATTTTTTGTAATCTTGGTGGTTTACTGCACCGTGGATCTTGGTCTTTCGTCTAGGTTTTCCATAATTTGATTTCCTAAAATTATCCATGGTAATGTTCAGGACATGTAGCTATCAAAGCGATATTACCACCAAATTTAAACATTATTGGATTTGTTTCAGCAGATCCTGCTCAAGCAAACTAAATTCGAAGGTGATACTTCCATCTATTTGCAAATGTGTATGAAATAACAGCATCTGGTTTACATTCTTTTTTTAAAACGTAAAGAACGAAAATTGTTGCAACCCAATATCTTCCACCAGTGTGTACTTTGGACTGAAAAGAACACACAGCATCAGTATGGTTTGCATTACAAGGTTAAAATGTATCGCCTAATCCATCGATATTGTAACAAACTTTAGAGAAAATCAGGTCAGCTTCATACTTCTAAATTTATTGATTTTAAAACTTGTACTACTTTTCTGAATAACTAATAATTATTATTGCAATTATACTATTCACATTATTTTTATTGCCTTTTGTGCATACCAGTCAGATGATTCAATGTGATTTTTGAAGATCGGATCTGTTTGGCATTTTGAAACTTAGATGAGAATTTTGGATCTCATTTAGGAGGGTGCATTAAGTGCAATTGATAAACTTAACAGAATGGTAAGTAAAGCAACTTACAAATGGGATCTAATTTGGGGTGTTTTAACGGATTTCTGAATAATCCTGTAGCTCAGTGTTTAGAGCACTCGCTTTGCAAGCGAGAGACCTGAGTTCAATTCCAGGCAGAGGGCGAAACCTTGGGCAAGTTTCCTTACTCCACACAGAGCCTAATGATAATCCCTCCAAAACCAAAAACAATAATAAATTGGTCATTTTCAATCCACGACTGTTTGGGGACATTGCTGTGCGCAATCGGCTGCCGCGTTCGCCCACAAATATACAGTCAATTCACTTTACAGTGTGTTCTGTGAAGGTTTTGGGACGTCCTCCCGACGTGAAAAGCGCTATATCAAATGCAAGGATTATTATTATTATTATAACAAATCCTATTAGAATTTCCATCAACCTGTGGGGATCTTGTTCTGTGGAGAAGCAGTTCATGACAAAGAAGATGCCAAGGGTTCAAGCCTGATCCAACAATCTCCAATTGAAGTGACTTGAATTCTTCCCATTAGAAATGGTAATTAGACCCCATTGCCCTCCGAAATGCAGTTTGTTCCTCTTAAGGATGATCATTTACAAAATAATAATAATAATAATAATCCTTGCATTTGATATAGTGCTTTTCACGTCGGGAGGACGTCCCAAAGCGCTTCACAGAACACACTGTAAAGTGAATTGACTGTATATTTGTGGGCGAACGCGGCAGCCAATTGCGCACAGCAATGTCCCACAAACAGTTGTGGATTGAAAATGACCAATTTATTATTGTTTTTGGTTTTGGAGGGATTATCATTAGGCTCTGTGTGGAGTAAGGAAACTTGCCCAAGGTTTCGCCCTCTGCCTGGAATTGAGCTCAGGTCTCTTGCTTGCAAAGCGAGTGCTCTAACCCCTGAGCTACAGGACTCCACAATGGCTGTTAACCCAAATTATTTATTTATGTATTCTTCACACTGCCCAGATGATTTTTCAATCATGAAGTTAAAGAAAAATGCAACTTTAAACTGGTGATTGAAAATTTGAACTTCATCCACTTTCCATTTAAGGGTATCAATAGGGTAGAATTCTATCCAGTTTATTAAAAATTCCTGTTTGAAGAATGGTTTTGCTTGTGAGCAAGAATTTGGCAGAAGAAAAAGCTGGGTTTCAGCCAGTAAATTCAAGAAGGGACTGGTTAGTTACTTTTGAGAAGAGAGTTGTTGAAAAAATTGGAGAGAGTAGCTCACAATATTAATTGCTTGCAATGCAATTTTCCGATGCTGCAGTTTCCTGTGTTCTTCAGTGTGATGAGATAAATTTGCTCTAATGCAACTTGAAAGTTTAGCAGATTTAGATCTAATTCCTTTTCAGTTGCAAATTGTACACTGAGACATAGCGCAGTGTCCGTTATCTAAGAGAAGTACAGTATTTTCTTCTTTTCTACCCACCCCACTCTCTTTCTTGTACTTTTCCCCATGCTGTTCACCTATATACACCATTGTGCTCCATACCCACCCACTACACGGATTACAAAGTGTTTGATCACCAAAAGCTGGAAGGTTCTCACAATCTTCACTTTAAGACCGTAGTCCTAAAATTTAAGATCATGCAAAATTTTGAAAAATTCTTAAATTGTCTTAATTCAAAAGTCAGTATTCCAGAGTTCTTATATTTTTTTAAAAAAGAGAGAATTGTTGCAGAAATTACAATTGATTCCCCAAAGTCACCCACTGATCCTTTTCCAAACTTAGGGTTAGTGTACATGTCGCAAAAAGCAGCGACATTGCCAAGAAGCAAAAATCCCTTTGAAAACAGCAGCGACTCGTGGAAGACGAGGGGAGATGCAAGTTCCGAAACCCCCAATGATGGTCAATCAGAAACCAAAAAGGAGGCCAAGAAAGACAAAGAAAAGGAGAAAATGAGCCTGTTTGCCCGAGTGACTGGAAAGAAAGATGCCAAAAAGTCTGAGAAAGTCATCGCGAGATCAGACGGTTTCGGTGATCCCCTGAATCCTTTCACCAAAGATCTTCAAGCCAGTTTCGAATTTGATTCAAGAAATCCATTCTCTGCAAACTACAATGCAGTCGCTAACTCCAGGTCAGTGCTGTGTTTTTGCCTTATTTATTCACTGCTGCCTTTCATGCGGTTGTTTGAAGATGGTTATGCATCCATTTAACCTTCTGGCAGGTACATTACCATAATATTGCTGTGTAATTGCAGCTGTCAAAACTGGTGGTGTTGCTATACAGTGAAAGATAGGAACAGAGACCATTCATCGTCAGCCTCGAGGCAACGCTAATTCATCAAATTTGTGTTGGAAAACTACCCAGCTATAAAGACCACTTTAAGAACCTGTTCCATAAATGTTTAGACTTGCTTCTAACCAATTTTTTTTCCACTTCTAATTTTCTTCCTTAAGGCATTTTGACTCATTTTTTCCTTCTGTTAGGGCCACGGTTCAGCGACCACCAATCGCCTCCAGCAACCTCACCCAAATAGCTGTTGTTTGTGTGTGTGAGCTCTGACATTGAATGTAGGCTGTTTGTCCACTGCGATGATAACAGCTGAGCCCGATCTTGTATGAAAGTGTACACGCACCCAGCTAGTGATCAGGAGTGGGAACTCTGGCTGATCTTACGAAGAGACAAGGATGGGTGGATGTTCCTGGAGGAAAAGATCAAAGTTGCCAATGGGTTTTCTTGATCCGAACCTCTTCTGATCTTGTATTCCTGTGAAAGCACTGGAGACTGAAGTGGTCTTAACTACCTACACATGTGTGATAGTCGGGCATTAATATGTAACACATCAAACTAATAGTGGAAAACTTGCAGCTTTGGATTTGAAAACTCCAATTTGCTTAGTTTCTGGTTTGTAATTTTTAAACGTTTCTTATTCAAATAAAGCCGCTAAGTCCTGTTCTGCGGTAGAGCGATCACAGGCTGGTATTTAACTAACTCCAGATCAATTGCTTATTTATTTCATGGTGGTTTTGTGGGATCTTGCTGTGGCAAATATAAACTGCACTTGACAGCAATTACCTGTGAACCACTTTGAGAGGTTTCGACATTATAGGTCTCTATCAAATGCAAGATTTTTTTTGAACGCAAGTTACTCATTCACTTATGGGTACTCTGTATATTCTTGTAATGTAATACATTGTGCAGCAGGTGTTTGAATTGAAAACTGAATATTCTTCCTGAACCATGGTTTCTAAAAACCAACCCAGCAATCATTGTACTTTCACAAGACTGGTGTTGACATCCATAAATAACTGCTTTATAAAGGTAATCACTAGATTAATATTGAATATACTCAATGTTAATGCTGCCAGAAATTTGAAATTAACAAAACAAAGTGAAAAAAGAACTAGATCTTAAGGTGATTTTATTTTGCCCCATGTTATAATATTGACAAACACATCTTACATTATGTTAGAAAGAAGCTGTTGTTTTTGGTGATGACTTTCTACATTCCTCTGTTGGGGAGCTTGCCTCAAAAATGGGGTTCAGTGATTGACTATGATGGTGTAATTCTTGCTTGTTTTTGCAATTCTTCGTATGCTATTGAATAGCTTTTATTTTGCAACAATGGGGATTAACCTTAAAGTTGGCACTTTGATTTGGAGACATTATATTCAACCCCCTCAGAAGAAAACTCCCCAATAAATGTAACCCACTTCTTTTCCCTCCTGGATTTGATATACCTGCTTACCATAACCTGTTTAATTCTGTTTCTTTGGTGCTATTTCTCCAGGCTAATGTATCTGGAAAGGTTCAAAATGTACTTGCGGATGCTCTCTTCCTTGTGAATTTTAACAGCTAGTACAAGTTGTTCATTTCAAAGTCATTTGTAGTGAGTTTATTTTTCTGACCCGCCCCCCCCCCCTCCCCCCAAAGAAGCTAGCGTTTCTCTGCATATTAAAGTACTGTAGTAAATGTAAAAATTACGTGCTTTGGCTCCAGTCATACTCCCTCTGACCACAGTGTAAACATTGCTGCTCTTCCTAAAGCTTGCCAACGTGGCCATTATTCATGCAATCAGTGATGGGTGATTATTGGGAGAGCATCCCAGCCAAGCTTGACCCATTCCTCACCCAACAACCACGCTCAACGCACACACCTTCCAGTAGAGGTCTCTGGCTAGCGATCAGGACAAGGATTAATGGATAATTTTGTTTTTTGCTTCCTCACCCCTAAAACAGAAAATGTTTTGAGATCAATCGCCATCCTAACCCTTTTCTAGTCTTCTTAAAAACTCAGCCGTTCAAATGAAAGACTGACTATTTGGCATTTCTTAAGATTTTAAAGTAGTCATAAAGCCATTTTAATAAATACTAAGCTGCTGTGGTTGTAATACTTGTGCTACAATGCTGCGGTGTGCTAACTAATGTCTTACTGATTTCTGTGATTAGGTCTAACGTGAGCTATCAATTTGCAATACTTCCATGTAATGGTGAGGGCAGAAAATATATAGGACTCTATCTCTACTTTGCTGACTATTCAGGCTGTTTGTCTTTGTGCTGGTATCTATGCTAAGGAGCAGTTGGAAAGGGGCACAGCTGAACCATCTATAATAATAATAATCCTTGCATTTGATATAGTGCCTTATCACGTCTTCGAGACGTCTCAAAACGCTTCACAGGATACGCTGTAAAGTGAGTTGACTATTTTGTAGTTGAAATGCGGCAGCCAATTGTGCACAGCAGTTATACTATATACAATATATAGTATTGTAAAGTATAGTATAACTTATATAAATTTATATATTTAAAGTATATATAATATTTACTTGAAATATATAAAATTTATATGTTATACTACACTTTATACATTATTTATACTATATGTTTTACTATATTTATATTATTTATATTATACTGGGGGATCCCAGTGTGACCTTTCTCAGGGCCTAACTTTCATGGGAGCCAGATTGCAAACCCATCTGGAAGTGACCTGCATCTGGAAATGGTAACTTTGGTAACTTCACGTCATAAATGCCCACAGTTCCCTTAAATAGAAATGAATTCCAAGATGAGAGGGAAGACAACAACAACAACAAATGATATTTGTATAGTGCCTTTCACATCAGAAGACCTGCAGAAATGTGTTTCTGGGTACTTGGGCTGCTAATTCTCATGGGAGTCTTTGCAAATTTAATCCTTTGTAGAAATCGTGTTATTCTTATTGCTGGAAGAATGAACTGTACAAAACTTCCTGTTATATTTTGTTCAGCACATTCTATATATTAACTATCCGAACCTGCTGCAAGTTACGTCCTATTTTACAGATCATGTCCTAAATTCTAAATAACTAAGCTTCCCCATCTACTGCTAGAGTGAAAGGTCCCTTATCCTCAGGGAGTAAATGTTAGTGGGAAAGCCAAGATTATTTTTTCATAGTTCTGACTAGGGCAGGCCCTAATTGTACATGATATGGGGACTTAGCACATCTAATAAAATAATAATCCTTACATTTGATGGAGAGCCTTTCACATCAGGAGCATATCACAAAGTGCTTAACAGATTTTACTGTAAAAAATAGTGACTGTATTTTGTAGGCAAACTCAGCAGCCAATTTGCACGTAGTAATGTCCTACAAACGGCCGTGAAGTGAAGAACCACTTTTATCTGGGAGATTGTTTCCCTGGACACAGGGAGAAACTCCCTTCTCTTTCAAATAGTACCATGAAATCTTTATCATCAACTTGAACAACTAGTTCAGAGCAGACCTTGATTTAACGTCTCATCCAAAGAATGGTACCTTCAACAATGCACTGCATTGGGAGTGTCAGCCAAAGCTATATGAGCTAAAACTCCCGACATTGGTCTTGAACCCACAACTTTCTGTCTCCAAAGTGAGAGTGCTACCACCTTAGTTGGGCTAACACATGCATGGTATGCAGTACTGAGGGGCGGAGCGGGGAGAACAAAAAAACCTTGAAAAGGGAAACGGTGTCCTGGCTAACAGTCCCCCAAAATATTTATCCGTTTACCTCACGACTGTAGGGATTTACTGTGTATGAAATTACTATAATGGCATTCTAAGCACGTGCTAACCCTGTTCTCTCTTAAAAAAAAACTAATTATGAATTTTGCTTGAAGTTTATTTTCTCTCTCTGAAGTCCCCCTACCCATACATAACTTGCACAGTTTCCAGATCAAAAGGGCAGCCAGGCAACCTGTTATTGCCCTTTGTCTATACCTCTCTTGAGCTGGTTGCCAGGAGGTTGGCTCTTTCTGGGGGATAGGGAGGGGAGGGGGCTTTCTTCTCTGCTTCCAAGCCCTGGCTCCTGCTCCCAGCCTTATTCTTCGCTGTATGTGAACCTATACCTTGCCACTTTGGCATTGTACCAGTTCGTTGCCACATTGTTGGTTTTGAACCTAAAACTGGAGAGTGTAAGAATGCTTAAGATTGACTGCAGCATGTGGTTGTGAGGTTAACTACAAGCTTTCGATTTTCAACATGACCCACTGCCCAATACATTTCTGTGACTCTCTGAGATTTATTCAGACCCCCTCAAGCACAGTATCTACGCTACAAAACCAATTTTTGACATTTTCAAAATCATCTCTTAAGTGGTAGCCACCACAAGACAAATTAGTTTAATCTCAGGGATACTTTGCCAAGTCTAATATTGACATCCATTATTGCAAAGCATGCTTATCTTGCTGCCCACTAGACTCGTAGAATATTAATCAAATTTATTCTGTACATTGCCTCATTGGTTGTGTTAAAAACAACAAAAGGCTGTCTCTGGATATCACTGAATAGCACATATTCTGTGAACATGTGCTATTCACAGAATTGTTTGGGGATGTGAATAAGTTCAGTATACAGTAATTGGAGTGATAAGTCGGGGCATGCTTTTCTTAAACCGCAATACATATTGATATATTTACAGTTTGTGCTTTAGATAATCTTCGAATCTGTAATTAGCAAATGTAGATGCACTAGAAATGGCAAATTAATGATAACTTTTCCAACAGTATCCTTTCTCACTCATTTAACAATCAGTAGCTGTTTTTACAATTACAAAATTGGGATGATATTGCAAGGAGCAATTTGTTAGTTTACAGTATGCGATTGTGTACATTAGTCAACTGTAAAGAAAAGTGATACCTCAATGACATTTCTTGTGACAATCTATTAGCCTTTTGTTAATTTGAAGAAAGATTCACCAAGCCTAAATTAGTAGCAATGAAGTGAAAATTTCTCAATTTACAGTTCTAGGCAAGTGGAAAAGGAGAGCTGGGTTTAATTTGATTGCCTTATTAAATGCTCTTTAAAGAGACTGGACATGTTCTTCACAAGTTCCATTGAGATACAGGCAGGTAATTAACTAGCTCTGTAGAGAAATGGGACAAGTAATTATTGAGCTCTTAGGAGCTGCTGGACAGTCTAGCATAAAAGCACAACAGTTTAAACTGGATGGGTTTATTACCAATAGCTTTTAAAAGTACCAGACACTATTAAGTGAATCCTTGGAGATACCAAGCAGATTAATAACAAGCTCTTTAAAAGTTGAGGGGTTTGCTGAGCACACCTGTGATCCCTTCATATTGCTTTGTAAGAACACCATTAAAATCTTCAGTTGCGCTCTGAAGCAGATTAGCAGTTTCCTTTCTGGTTGTAATGAAATGCAGCAGTGAAATTCAACACACACAAGTAACTTAGATACAGAACTCCAGCGATCTGCAGCATTTTTCTCAACACAGCCCTAATGTGCATATGCAGATAAGATATTACATATTCGAGCCATGAGAAAGGGATAGTTTTATTTTATTGGGCATTTGTTTTACTGGAGTTGAAACTCTGATGTTAATGTGGAGTTAACGTTGCCCTTGGGCGGGCAGATTTATATCAAAAACATTGTAGTAATCCGCCTAATTTTTATTTCTGTTTCCATGCTGACAATCTGAATGTGCAACTAAATAATGCAGTGAATACTCTTGAGAAATTAACATTTGGAAAGATCGTCCTATTTATCAGGAGCTCATTTTTGGGGAGAACAGCCCTGTACAGCCCTCTGGCCTTAATATCGATTTCAGCCACTTCAGACCATAACAGCTCACCTTTCCCCCTCTTTCTGCTACCAGAAGAGTTATCTTCTGTTATCATTACAATCATCACCCCAGACACTATTTGCCTCTCTCTGGTGTGTTGCCTGTTCTGCACTATTAACACCTCTTCTCCCCCAACCCACCCCCCCCTTTTTGTTGTACAACCCCCCCTTTTTGTTTTACGCCACTATCACCTCTAACTCGTTCTCTCCTTTGTCTTCTTTTGTCTTCCTTGTCCTGCCTCCCCCTCTCAACTTAAAAATTTCTCCCTCCCAACATGCCCCAGTTCTGATGAAGGGTCGTGGACCCGAAACATTGACTCACTTTCCTTTCTTCATAGATGCTGCCTGACCTGCTGAGTTTTCCCGGCTCTCTCTGTTTTTGTTTCACTTGACAGTATATTCTGTGAAGCGCTTTGAGACATCTCGAAGACGTGATAAGGTGCTATATCAAATGCAAGGATTATTATTTTATTTCAGGGAGTATTTATCACAGTGTTAAATAGAGCCTCATTTGAAACCAATTTTGTTTTTGTAATTTATTTTACAAACTGTAGAAAACTGACTTCAAAGTTAAGACTGAACTCAACAGTTTGTTGTTTGCTAAATTCTGGCTGCTCTAAAATGCTAATATTAACGTTGCTGCTGACTTCGTAGAGTTGACTGATTGGTGGGGGGGGAGGGGTGGAGTTAAATGTTTGGCTTTGAGACACCAGATAATCATGTAAAGCTCACAATGTTCATAATAAGCTAACAACCCTCAACATCCTAAAACGATGCAACACAAGTCCTTACCGTAAGCATCTTAGAGAAACTAACCCATTGACTATAGGAGGATTGCTAGTACGTTGCTTAGGCCTCTCCGTACTCTATCTGAGGTTCCAAAACTATATCTCATTTAATCTTCTGATGAACTCTGCTGCTGGCTATACAGTATAGTGATAGTTTGAAGGTTTCTTTTTCTGAGTTGACTGTTCGGTGTTTTCAGCAAGCTGAATTTCCATTTTTGTTTTCTTGTGCTTTATAATAATAATAACATTATTAGCAAAATTGGAGATTAAACAACCAATTTAAACGTACTGGTAGACGTTATGTTAAATACTGTAGTTTTTTTGGTGTTCAAGTAGCCTTTCGGACCTACTTCAGCATAGCAAGGTTCAGTGAGCACAGTAGAAGAGGTGATGTTAATGGCAGGATATTGGAACAAAAGACTTGAAAATATGATTTCATATTGTAATTTGAACTTTTCGGTTTTTGTTTTTAAAAATCAATGATTACCTGGATGTAAATTTATAATCGCCTATTAAAAGACTACTAATTATACATTAAAGACATGTTTAATTTGAAATGAAAGTTTAGTGGCCCGACTAATACCTGGACTACTATAATGTTTGACCTCTACTAAATATTTATTTCTGAAACGATTCATAACCCAAAGTCTATTTTGTACTATTCATCAGTATAATAACATTTTAACTGTGGACACTAACTAATACCGCACTTCTTCAACACTCTTTTGTATTGCTGAATATGATCAGACACAATTTGCTTGACTTATTTTTACTTTGGCACTTTACATTTAATAGATTGTAAGGATTACCCACTTAGAAAAAAAGTTGGTCTCAGTTTGTCATGTGGGTAATTAGGATTTACCTCTTTAACCTTTTATCCATAGACCATCTGAGCAATTGACCACCACATCCTCCAGCTTGTCTGACATGGGAATGACATCAGATGAAGAAAGGGCACTACAAATTACTGCCACACTTCTTCAAATGGAGCTGTTCTTGGTTTTCACCACAGCTAATTCGATCCAGTTCACTTAACTCATTTTTTTCTGAGAGAGATCAAAAAAAACAAGCCATGAATGAGCGAGTCCATCACATCTTTGACACATCAATGTGAGAATGAAAAGCGGGCCACGAAAGGAGGGTTCCTGTCTTTAGATTTCAGACAATACCTGATGAAAGAGTGCCTCGTACAGATCAATCCTATAGTGAGCAGGGCAGAACGCCTCAGATCACTGTTACAGCCTAGTATAATAGGAATTAGCAGGGAATTGATTCACCAGTCACTTTTTTTCCTTACAGCTGTGACCTTTGTTGTAATCTGACCTCTTTCCTTTCCCCCTCCCCCTGCTGCCCACCTCCCCCTCTCCCCAGGATTGTCAAAGCTAATTCAGGTTCCCACTGAATTACATTTTGATCAGGCATACCGAAGGTAATAGTAACAAGGTACAATGCCCTGATCACAAAATAGCTGTACGTTCAAATCCTTCACATTAAGTAACAAAATGGAACGTAATTAGCATTTCACATTAAAACCAAACTTTGGAAACCCGAATTCTGATGGACTTGCATATTCTGAATTGAGAACTTTAATGTTTAGGACTTTAATCCTTGCATTTGACTTTAAAATATTGTTTGCTGTTAAAGCCCCGAATGTCCCCACTGCAGAGTGGCTGTCGGCTGATCCCGTCCCCATGCATGTTTTTCTCTGGCTCCACAAGCTGCCACTTAATTTCTTTCCACATTGCAACCCACGGCCCAGAACACACGCTCCATGTGAAGCAGCAATTCATTTGCACCTCCTCCAACCTTCTATTATCAGGCAGGTCGACTCACTCTTAACATCCCCACCCTCAGCCTCCTCATCTTTTTAACATAAACTTGAATTTAGGGTGGGATGTGAAGTTCTGTTGCTTTGTGAGCAGAATTGGAATATTTCTTCATAGGGTTTTCCTGAAAAACAATGCACAGTATAAGAATGGACATGTTATAACACTAAGGGTATGTAGAAAATCAAATTTTGTGTTACAGATTGTAGGTGTCCCAAAACGATGTGTATTTCATTGAAACATCCTTCTGAATTCACTTTACAGTATATTCTTTGATGCACTTTGAGGCATCAAATATCAAATGCAAGGATTACTATTATTATGTTAAACCAAAGTTTAGTCTGCCTGTTCAGGTGGACGCTAAAGATCCTGTGGCACAATTCGAGAAGAGTTTCTCTCGGTGAGCTGGCCAACTATGCCTCAGATTAAAAAAAACATTCTGATTCACATTATGGCTTTTTTCAGACTTTGCCGTGAGGAAATTGGCTGCTGCATTTCACTACAAATATATAGAGTCAAGACTTTACAGGGAAAAAAAACATCTGAAGTGCTGTAAATTGTTTCAGTATGGTAAGGTGCTATATCAAATGCAGTGATTATTGTTGTATTTCTATTTTTCTATTAATCTGAAATGCAAATTGATGTTAATGTCTCCTTTTACTCCCTTCCACCTCTCCTAAACAATGTCATTTGCTGGTCTTATATCGCCTTCTCATCCAGATTTATAATAATAATAATCCTTGGATATCGCCTTATCATGTCTTCGAGACATCTCAAGTGCTTCACAGAATATACTGTAAAGTGAGTTGACTGTATTTTTGGGGCCAAAACGTGGCACCCAATTGCGCACAGCAGTGTCCCACAAACACTTGTGGATAGAGTGACCAAATTATTGTTTATCTTTGAAGAGATTATTACCACCGGAAAATCGACTAACAAGCAGGCATGTGGAGTAAGGAAACTTGCCCAAGGTTTCGCTAGTTGAACCCAGATCCTTTCGCTTGCGAGGTGAGCGCTCTAACCACTAAGCTACAGGACTTAACAAGTCAACTATATGAATTGACTTTGTTTCTCATTGCTGTTTGTAGGGAACAGTTGGTGCAAATCAGTTGCCACATTAGCCATGCCTAAAAAAAAATATATAAACATTGCCTTCATTTCTAATTAATCATTTTGCATAAAGACTTTTTATGTGAAGTGCAGTCTATAAATGTAGGTTGTAATTTTCCCAAATTTCTATTTCCAGCTCACTAAAATCCCCAATGACTGACGACTTGAAGATAGTGGAAACGTCCTCTCATGACAAGTTAAACTATCAGAAGATTAATCAACATTTAAGCAAAGGCTTTAAACAACATCACTTTGAATACCACGGAGACAAAAGCAGAGTAAATGTAAGGAGACTTTGTTTCTATGTGTGCATGGGAAATATCTATCCAAATCACGCAATAAATCACGGTTTGTTTTGACTGCAATGTTTTGCTATTTGATGACCTATTTCAGTACTTTATTGGCATTTAAATAGTTTTTTGCTTGAATGCCTTTCACAGGTCTTGTACTCTTGGTTTGTTGTTGTGAGACTGGCAAGACTTCTGCGTTTCTTTACCATTTCTGGAACTTTACAAAAACATGAAATCTTTTGAAATTTCGGATTGTATTTAAAGAAGAACAAGTTTAGCTTTCATTTTTTTTCACTGGGATAGAGTGAATCTTTTTATTTCAAAGTTTATGTTTTTTTCTCAGGTGTAGATGAAGCGAGCACTCGATCAGAAATTGCCCCCCTTGCTATCTTTCTCCCTATCCATTTCAAGATCCTCACGCTCGCATACCAATCACTTCAAGCGCTGGCACCATCCTTTCCCTCCAACCTGCTTAAACAATCAGAAGCTTTTGCCCCCCCCTCCCCCCACTCATGAAGGACGTTATGTAAATGCAAATTGATGTTGTTGCCGTTTAAAACAAACCCGTAAAAGCTTTTACTCTTCTTGCCATGAAGTTCATCCTTCCACAACCTGCTTCTGCCATGGTTTTCTTGCCAAGATATTGACTGAACCCCCAAATCTGTTTCAAACCCATATATATATAGTATATTCACAATTGTACAGTGACTATACTCTATTCATATGGAATCTAAGCTCCTCTTAAAACGATGAAGGTTACACCTAAGGCAGGTCATCTATATCAAATGCAGGTATTATTATCTTCATCCAAAACTCGGCAGCTCAATGGCCCTTTGCATTACAAATTAAATATAAAGTGATAAGCAGCAGTCCAATACTATGATGATTTTTTGTGTGGGTGCCAAAACATTTACTACCCAAATAAGCAGTGTAGCTGCATCAGAGGGAAAATTAACATTAAGATTGCTATCTATATACTCCAGTTGAAGTTCACAGTAAGATTAAAGTAATGTTTGGCAGGCACTGCTGATTTCATGGCTATGTGACCAAACATTAAAATGTAGAGTGCATCAAATTTACCCCTAAAGTTATCTAATGGTAAGTTTAGAATAAAATGTTCCATTCCCTTTTCATTTGTGCATTTTGTCCATTGCTTATATAACTGGTGTAAAGAACACTTTTCACAAGTGATATGTAAATGAGAATGTGTTTAACTTCTGTTGCATGACTTCTAGCCTGTGGGAATTACCCCATATCTGGCAGGCTGGGAGTTTTCACATTCCTTGATATGTATGTTGTGCATGACATTAAATGTTTTAGCCCCACAAATTTACCTTTTTTTTGAAAAGCCTAGATTAGTCCACAGCTGATCAAAGGATAATTTGGGACTTGATGTGGAATTCAAATGTACTATTCCTATTTTCTCTTACTTCATATGGATGTCCTGATCCAACCTTAAAACACGTTGCCAGCCTAGTTATGCATTAATCTAAATTCGGTTTGATGAGCAATTTCATCAAAGTAATGTGTTCACACATGGTCAGTACATTTAGCTGAACCATTTTTTTTTAAGCTTCTTGCCTATGAAATTCATTGAAAAGTATCCTAATTTTTAGAGTATGCAGATGCTGGAGGAACCAATTTTAATACCTAAGCCTTTTTAAAATATATTGCAGTATGCAGGTAGTACAGTAATCTGCTGCTTGTCATTTGTGGTTTTATTGAAACTTTGTCCACTTAACATGCAAGGTAAGGGAAATCGCCTATTTCACCATATGTTTGCAATCCACACATTTCATTTGGTATTGTATTCCCCTCAATCAGGTTGACAGACAAAATTGTAATGTACAAATGGAAACCTTTACCCTTTTCATTCGTGTTATATAGTGGGACCCCATTTTTAAGGCACTCAATGTTAATGTGGGCTTGTTTATAGCACGGTTGGGGTATAGAACCAGACATTTACTTGACCAAAAATTCCATATGCTGGCTACATCGGTGCTTCAAAAAAACCCAGCTGTGACCCTGTTATAGCACTGGTTGTGATTTTATGAACCCTAGCTACTGTTATAATGGAGCTGTCTTGACTGCATCATAAAAGACCTGAAGTTCCTGTGATCTAAACCTTTGTATAGGTGGTTTTTCACAAATCATTAACATCTCAAAGAAACTCGATGCTAAAAATTAAATTAGAAACTAAATTAGTATTCAATTCTAAATAAATTTTAATATTTAAGATTTAAACAAAAACCGAACCTGACAAATATGCAGCTGCTTTGAAAGCCTTGCAAGGCTTCATCAGTATGAAAACATTCAGTTGTCCTCGGGATTTCCTCATCCAATTAGATACAAGTTGGGAAATGCCTACAGTACAAGTTAAAAACAAACACGGTCCTTTATCTGCAATCATTATATAGAGCTCTGAATGCTGGAGCCCGGAATTTACTGCAACTTATTTGAATTGTATTTAGGAATTATGGCTTATGAATTACCTTTCAGGCTGGTTCCAAATTGTGTCAAATGCTTTCTTTGATTGGTTGAGGATTTTAAGTTTAGTGTCCCTTTCATATTCCCTATTAACGAAGGTGTTATTTTGGAGGCAAGGAGATACTACAATACTGGCTTCACACCATTTTGCACTTTCATTAAAAATCTGCGTCGATTCAATTGGTACATAATTTATGGGTCCCCTGTACAAAAGTTTCAAGATAAATTGTCTCCTGTTCTCCATCATTAGGTACTGAAGAGGGTTTATGCTGGGTGTGTGCATAGTAATCAGGCTTGCTTAGATCTCTGTTCTCGTGCCAGTACCTGTCTCCAATGGATGCTGCTTTAAACAGGAGCCGCAACCTAGTTTAAGGAGCAGCATGAACTCCTTAACACCTAATTAAGTGCTGTAAGGTGGATGAGAGGAGGAAAGAACAGTAGATGTGAAAGTAACTGGAGTGATATTCCCAGAGCAAATTTCCTCATTAGAAGAATGAGCGAATGACCGATTTGCCATCTTATCTCACCCTCCGGACTGCTGTGGATATCAGCCTGTACTTCACTGACTAGTCGGCATTAGGTTTGCAAAAGCCATTTTAATCTTAAGGGCCCATTACCTCACTGTAAATATTGTGCTAAAGTTTGCGAACGAATCTACGGGCTGATCAGCAAGTCTAATTGTAATCTGAAGCCAAGTTTTTCAGAATTCACAAAGTGCCGCTGTGTCCCATGGACGCGAAGTGAAAGAGCTTTTAATCGGCACTTTGTATCTGTTTTTAATTGGTTTGATTCAAACACTAAGCACCTGCAGGATCTAATGATCATCGAGGGCAGGATGGAACACTTCATCACATTCTGGCAGGAGGGCGTTGGAGATATCATTGTTATTTGCAGCTTCATCTGACCCAGCTGCCTGGGTTCTGCAGGGAGTTTTTTGTTTCCTACTGAGAGTCGGCTGTGGATGTGGCAACTCTTTTGTAGTACTGTACATTATCTGATTAGAAAGTTCCTGGACGATTTCATGTTTGGGTGACGCTCTTCAGATGAGTCTTAAAGTAGTGAGTGATAAAATCACTAATTAAAAAAAATGCAATCATCAAAATAAAACCAGATGATGTTACTCATCTTTGCGAGCGCCCACAAGTGTCTGCTTATTTAGAAGTGCAGGGTTTATTTGAACAAAATTTTAAAATAAAGTTAAAGTTGGACAGAACGTTTGTGCAACAAAGGGTGAAAATTTATGAAAACAAGTTAGCAAGGAAGGTCATTGAAACAAACTGTATAAATTGCTTCAGGGCAACTAGCTGCAATTCTATAGAAGAGAGAGCATTGAGGGATATGATGGAAAAAGCAGATGTGTAGGACTAATTATATAATAATCTTTGCACTTGATATAGTGCCTTATCGTGTCTTCAAGACGTCTAAAGTGCTTCACAGAATATACTGTAAAGTGTAGCGACTGTATTTTGCAGGCGAAAAGCGGCAGCCAATTGCGCACAGCGTTGTCCCACAAACAGTCATGGATTGAGTGACTACATTTTTTTAAAAAGAGATTATTACCCTTCATTGCCACTAAAACGTATCAATAAGGAACTCACTTGTTGTGCCATTCTCCTGTTCCTAATTCCTAGTGTTAACAATGCAACACCTGGTTTCTTAAAATTTCAAATGATCAGTGTCTGTTTTAGATCAAGGACCAGTTCCTTAAAGAAAAATAATTTGATGGACTATTGACTGATTTAAACAAAAGTGGCATTTAAGACACTCCTGGGATCAAACTGATCAAAAACTGAATTTTCATTGAAGATGATTGAAATGACTACATCTTCTCAGTAAATGAATGTTGAGCCTAAATAATATAGTTAATCGTCTCGGGCAGATCAAGTTTTACAATACCAGTGTACAGAAAAAAGCTAAAAATGTTGGCCTGCAGGGGGACAAGGTGGCACATCGCTAGAACTTCAAACTTTGTTTGAATCCGACCTGAAATGATGCCAGTGAAAATATTCCAAGTTAAAATAGGGATGTTGTAAAGTGGTGCAGGTTTGCTCAGTCTCTATATAACAGCAACAAATTATATTTGTAGAGCGCCTTTCACATCAGGAGGACATCCCAAGGCGTTGGACAGTCAGGGATTCGTACCCGAGATGGGGATTGGGATCAGAATGGTTGGAGGGCGGGTTGATTTCAAGATCCTCATCCTCACCTACAAGGCCATTCACGGCCTTGCTCCCTCCTACCTCTCCAACCTACTATCCCCCTACCTACCTGCCCGTACCCTCCGTTCCTCTGGCTCCGGTCTGCTCCACGTCCCCCGCCCCAACCGCCCTACTATCGGTGGTCGGGCCTTCAGCCTCTCAGCCCCCAGGCTCTGGAACTCCATCCCCCAGTGCCTTCGCCTTGCTTCCTCCCTTTCCTCCTTCAAGGCCGGTCTCAAAACCTTTCTCTTTGACCGTGCCTTCAGCTCCCCTCTCGACTCTCTTCCTCCTCCTCGCTCCCTCCCTTCCCTCCCCTCACCCTGACCATTTCCCCCCTGCTCGGGTCATGACCCAACTGTGCAGCGCCTTGGGACGTCCTCCTGACGTGAAAGGCGCTCTATAAGTGGAATCTTGTTGTTGTTGTTGTTGTAGGGGTAGGAGGGTGAGTGAAGGCACGGTTGAAAAGGAGGGTCTGAAGACAGATTTTGAAGGAGGCAAAGGAGGGGGTGAGGCGGAGGAAATGTGAGATGGAGTTCCAGAGGGTGGAGTAGAGAGGCTGAAGGCTTGCCTGCTAATGGTGGGACGGGCAAGGCGGGTGACACAGTTCTTAATGGGTAGTAAGTGGTCCATAGCACAAAATCTCCTCGGAATGTGGCACAGTTTGAGAACCTCACTTAGCAGCTTTGCAACAGTGTTTTTTTGTTCTAGCATTTGATGCCTTGACCTTCATAAACAATTCTAAGCCCCCCTCCCCTGCCAAAAGAAATCTCTAACCATGACCTAAAAGCATTAAACGCAGAAGATTCTTAAAACCATTACCTTTTACAGAACAATAGCTGCTGTACTGGTTCGGTTGATGGAGAGGACAAAGCCATTGTACTTTTTGGGGATATTGCTCACAAAGTTATCCGGGTGTGGAGAAGCGGATCTTTCTGCCAAGTAAACTGTACAATATTTTGTAAAATAAATGTGGCTATTTTCACTTGACGTGCAGCAATTCGAGTGTACACTAAATGGGGAAAGACCAATGCCAATCATCCCCCATTACTGGGATTGTTCTCCTTAGAGCAGAGAAGGTTAAGGAGTGATTTAATAGAGGTGTGCAAAATGAGGGATTTTGATAGAGTAGACGGAGAGAAATTGTTTCCACTGGTAGGTGGGTTGGTACCCAAGGAACATAGATTCAAGATAATTGGCAAAAGAACCAGAGGGGTGATGAGGAGAATTTTTTTTTTAACCGAGTTGTTTCGGTCTGGAATACACTGCCTGAAAGGGTAGTGGAGGCAATTCAATAACAACTTTCAAAAGGGAATTGGATAGGTACTTGAAAAGAAAAAATTTGCAACGATGATGGGGAAAGAGCGGGGAAGTGGACTGATTGGGTAGCTCTTCCAAAGAGCCAGCACAGGTGCGATAGACCGAATGGACTCCTTCTGTGCTGTAGTATTCTGTGAATACATCAAGAATTTCATTTTGCAAGCACTGCACAACTTAGCTTGCGAGTCCTCCAAAAAACGTTGACTCACTTTCCTTTCTCCATAGATGCTGCCTGACCTGCTGAGTGTTCCCAGCCACTTCTGGTTTTGTTTCAGATTTCCAGGATCTGCAGTATTTTGCGTTTTGGTTATTTGTGTGACTCGGGTTCCTTACAGGCGGATTCAGTTTAGAAATAATGCAAATTATGGGCTTCTTCTCAATCTGATTTTTCTATCTTCTTCCCCTAAATCTGGGCTGCTGAGGTCTGTTTCTAATTTACTATTTTCTTTTTCTCTTTCCTCTTCTCCCCCACCCCCACCACCACCCCCCTCTCCCACTGGGGTAATGCTCCAGTACCTCGGTTGACCATTGTTCAAGTATGAATCTTTTTGTCGAATACCGCACAAACTATTAGACTATGGGGGTCATTGTGGCCCAACCTGATGCTGTCCGGCCCCCCGGGCCTCCCTGCCCCTCCATTGGCAGGCAGGCCTTCAACCTCTCTGCCTCCAGCCTCTGGAATCCATCCCACAGTCCCTCCACCTCGCCTCCTCCCTTGCCTCCTTCAAGACCCGGTTCAAAACCCTCCTCTCTTCTGTGGCTTCAATCACTCTCCTACCCCTATTCTTACAAACCATCAGCTCGGGTGCTAGGGAATCCTAGCTAATTTTTTTTCTTCCCTGGGCTGCTGAGGCCAATTCCATCAACACTAGTCCACCTCGGCTAGCCTTGGACGAGTATCAAACCTTCTGCTTTCACAGGATGAACTTGCTAAATCATTTGAGGGGTTGGCGATAACACTGAGCTTTATTGTAGTTATTGTTTGAAGAGCGAGTGCTTTTTTTAAAAAAATCACAAATTACTATCTTTCATAAAGGAGCTTTGTTTGAATGCGTGAGGATTAGACATTTCAAAATATCATGTCTGCTGATTACAGCTATTAAAATCCTTTGTCTGCTTGTGACCCAGTTGGGTTGGGCATGCTTTCTGGTTGCAGCGTCTGAAGTTGTCTGTTAACAAGTAATCCATGTGACATCAGCTTCACTGAGTATGCATCTTGTGGCTCCAAACAAACTGCGAGAACTGGTGTTTGCCAATGACCTTTTGTCGGCAAAGCATTCTATTGGAAACACCGAGTCCCTTTCACAACCTTCATGTCTCATTGAATGATTGCATTCAGTGGAAATCCACCGCAAAGGATCCTGCCACCCACCCAATGGAGAGGGATCATTAATGATAATCTGTGCATTTGTTGCGTTGCTTACAACATCGAAAAGTCTTCAGGCTCTCCCAAGGAGAATTGAGGCAGTGTGTATTGACTGTGTATTTGTAGGGAAAAAGCGGCAGACAATTTGTGCACAGCAGGCCCCACAAACCCCTATGAAGTGTGAATTTATCTGGAAGAAATCTTGACCAGCACATCGGGACAAAAAACTCCTTTTCAGATAATGTCATGAGGTCTTTAACTGAACAGGCCTTCGTTTTACATATCGTCTGATGCTATCAATACAGACAAATGCTCCAAGCAGTCAGTATAACACAGTGCTGAGCAATAGCATTCTGACTTGATTGGGTTGCGTCAATAATGACATCAATTAATTTTGGTTTCTGATTTCAGGATCCCAACCTATTTGCCACTGGGTACAGGAATCTCTCGAACAATGAGTTGATCTGTGAACTTCTGAAGCATAAAGAACTTATTAAGAGAAAGGATGGCCAAATCCGGGAACTTGAGGACTACATTGATAACCTGCTCGTACGAGTCATGGAAGAAACTCCCAGCATTCTCAGAGTACCGTACGAACCCTCTCGGAGAGCTGGGAAACTTCCAAAGAAAAATTGACCTCGTTAGTATTTTATAATTACCCAAACTTATTTGAGGTGTATAACAGAATTGTGAACCTAATTCGATGCGAAACCTCGTGCAGCAACCGAGTGAATCGGTGATCAATTTTATGGAACCCAGAGCTGCCTCCTTACATTTCAAGCCAAGTGCAACTCACGTGTCTTTGTCATGTTCTCTCGTTCACTTTTGGTTTAAATCAAAAATTCTGATCTTTTTTTCTACTTCACTTAATTATTCACTGATTTTAAAATGGGCCGATGTTCGTCTTGCACGGGGATCGAAAGGCGTTGCATGCTAGCTTCACTGACAGATGTATATCGCCCTCCTGGGTTCCCTCATCTGTTCACGTCGCACATGCGAAGTCTATAGACAATATATCTTCTGTTATACTTCGCAGACTGGAATATCGTGATGAAGCAAACCATGGCAGGAGAATATGGCTTCAATGTATTAACACGCCACCTTTAAATTATTCCGAAGCTCTTGGGCACACTTCAGGTGATATGTGGCTTGGTTTGAGAGGATGTGCACACTAAAATTAGTCATTGTTTATATTGCAGGAACTGTTATCCATCGCTATTTTACTTGAATGTATAAGTATACTGACAAAGTATGTCGGTTTACAGTAATCATGCCAAAAACTAATCACTTTATTCTTGCCTCGGGCTTGATCATCTGTTATACTTTAGTCTTCTGGCAGTTCCATGCTCTTTTTATTCGGAGCTCATTTTAAACCTGTACTTCCATTAAATGTTTACTGCACTTGACACTGCAATATTATTAGAAAAATACAGTTCTTCCAATCTGCTTTTGAATTGGAATATGCCACGTGCTTAGGGAGAACTGTAAAGCCGAACTACTGGAGTGGAAAACAATCTTAGCATTTCGCTCAAGTTGAACATGAGGTGCTTTATCTTTATATAATGGCGTCTAAGCTCACGAATCTGTGTGTGATGTTACTGCCCTTGACGTCTTAAACCAAGAACACCAAACAAATTTTCTTTGCCACTTAAATAATGTTCACAAATCCTTTCTTTTGGAGGATGGGAAAAAAAGCTTTTTTTTGTAATAGGCTTTGTGTATCAGACATAAAAAAAGGATGCGTTTTTATGCCAAAATACAAACATTTCTGCCCATTTAAGTTGAACTCCAAATATAATGCTTAATCTTGGGGTGGCCTCTTAAGTAAGGCTTGGTATAATGATAGTATTATTCAATGGGTCCTGTTCTAACATTTTTTTATATGCCTCATTGATGTACTTAGGAGTTGAAAATTGTTGCACAGATTATTTAAAGATGCATTTTATAATCTGCACAAGGAATCTTACAACAATAGCAGGTGAAGTGCACAGATATATAATGTCACTGTCAAACAGCCTGTGAGCATTCTAAAATGCAACAAGTGTGAGACGTCAGAGGACAATAGGTACTCATTTATGTGTCAAAACCATTCACTGAAAACTTCCCTTGGACATGTTTGTTTTAGCACAGTAGTACCGATGGACATATTTTTTTTAAATGGTGAAAGCTGCTTTTGTCGTTCAAATTATATTTATCTGGTTGCAATAAAACAATGCCAGCATCAACAGAGAAAAGCTTATTCTTTCTGCAGCACTTCAAGTTTTTCACAGCTTTGAAAATAATACTCCTTTTTTTTAAACTCACTGTCTTAACTTCCTTGTTTTCACATCATTGGAATTCTCTGGATGACTATTGAGAATGATATGAAGTTTGCAACACAGGTTTAATACTATATGATGTGCTTTTTTTATATGGCTGCTCTTTTCTACAGCTTAAAAGTCCTGGCAGTGCAGATATACCATTATATCAATATAAGACATTGGTTATATCTTGAGTTTTTGAAACAGATGACGCTCTTGACATGAAGTTAAAGAGCTGAGGTTAAAAAAAAATTAGCACAGCAATGAGTTGTGAAAATGGTCCAGAAATTCATCTGCCTCGGTTTATCAAATGCACTTTTATTTAATTAATGCTTTAGTTCAGCTCCATCAGCCTTGGCTTTCAGGCGGTGCAAAAGGTTAAATTGCTGGAAGAATTCTGCAGGAAGAATTCCCACAGTTGTACTGCAGGTGTTGAGGGGTGTAACCATGCAATAAAGTTATTTTTCATTCTGCAGGGAAACTAATGCATAGCGTAATAAATGACAGGTGGGAGTGTTGTACTCCTGTAACACAATCGAAGAGGCCCTTGTGATAGCTCCATGAAATGCTCACACTTTAGGATATCATCCAGAACCTATTACAGGTTCCCATACTCTCAGAATATTGCATTATCTTCTTGTGCTGTTTTTGCTTTACTTGATCTTTTCCTTTTTTTTTACCATTTGAGTTCCCAGCTTCTGCTTCTATTTTATCTTCTGATTGTGGGTTAATTTTACCAGGCAGCGGTCTTATTTACCGCTATCATTCCTGAATATCTCCATTAGCATTACTTTTCAGCAGAAGCAGAATGATGGACATATCGTGCCATAAATCAAACCTCTGCACAATTTCATGTGATGGGAGAAGGAGAGGTGTTACCAGGGCATTCTGTACATTGCAACTCTGTACTGTAATTATTGCTCATGTCACTGCAATGTCCTCAGAACATCCGAAAACCGCGATCAGATACTTTAGTAGACTTGAAAGTAGTTTGGTTCTAAACAACGTAGAATGTGCTTAGATGACAATTACTGTTTGTGATATAAGCCACAGTTCCACTGGATCGGATAGTTTTTCATCTTGAGAGTTACTTCCATCACCAGCCGATCCAAATGTTACCAATAGGTTAAGAGTTCTCCATTCATGAATGAATTCCGCCTCAATGTTTTCCCCCCTTGTGTGTAATGCACTGACCCTCGTGGATTGTAGACTTAAAGAGTAGTGTAGAATATGACACCTTAACCATCAGTATATGCTTTTCAATTTAAAAACTATAGTATTGAAGAGGAGACAGGCAACAGAAAAATAAAAGGTTAAAAAGGAGCAATGAGCAGCTTTCATTTTCATTTTGAAATCCTTCAATATGAATCTCCTGTGCTTCTTTGTAAAACTAATACTGTAGAAGCCATTGTCTAGGTGGCTAGATTAGGTGTTTAGTATTGAGTCATGTAATGTTGTTCATGTATATTTATCCAATTGTGTGAACTGTAGAAGGTTAGGTGTTCTGGTATAGGCTCTGATGGCACAAAGAAGACATTATTAATTGCCTTGGGTTCTGCATAAGATCAGTACTAAAGGTAATAACACTAGTGGGCCCGAATGAACAATGTTTTTCCTTGTGTTTTACTGTTAGAAAAACAGCTGATGAGTCCCGGTTTTATAAAGCTGCTTTGTTTTACTAACACATGTGACACAACTGACCCAATCCCTCAAAATTGTATCAGTTTTACTTTTGAAGCCACATATGAGTGTCGTCCATGTTATTCACAACCAGTGGGTATTTGATGGTGCATTAGTGGCACAAAACTTCAAGAGAGATTAATGAAGGAGCGGCAATTATTTTAAACCACTGAAGACTTACCGTGGACTGACTGAGAGTACACCACGACTATCCTTTTTATTTGTATCCCTTGTCATTTTAATTACTGCTTCGAACAATCGCAACTTTAGTGAAAATGTAAACTGCTGAGGGTGAAGTGTTTACTTTGTCGTTTTGAGATTGGCCACTGATCCAGGAATGAAGCTTAGCTTAGCTTAGGTATATGTCCAATAAAACCTTCTTATGCCTTAGCTCAACTTTTATGTGCGTAGACTCAAAGGTACCTCATTTATTATTGTGCTCTAAAACGTAAAACATTTATTGCCATATTTATTCTATTTTACTTTTTGTTTGATGTGGCTGCAATCATTTTCAAGGGTGCTTTTATATACATACCCGTATGCTGTTCATTTGGCAACTATTTGCCGTGCATTCATTTTACTCAATGCATTATTAAAATATAGTAAGATGAGATGAGAACTAGTACAATTGAAAGCAACCAAACCCTTTCTTATACTGGTTTTTTTCACCCCATATTAACCACGAGATAAGCACTTAATCTACTGTCTGGGGGTGTATGAAGTTTTGTTGGGCCAGCCTGTTGTAAAGTATTTATTAAAGCTCATTGAACAAGTATGGTAGTTGATCTTTCTGCAGGAACTTTAACATCCATTTGACAAAGATTCTGAAATGCTTGCACTTTAAACTGATGTAAGTAAGGCAAATATTCTACAAGAATTACTTGTCTGGTGGTTTTCAAATATACCATGTCTTGATCTGCAGTTTCCTACCTTTTTACAATGACTTGTATAGGATTTCATGTTATACACTTTGTAAATCAATTTTTAAGAAACCATGATCAGGTTGCTTGCTGTTCACAATGTACCTCTGTGTTTATTTCAAAATGAACCCATTAATCACTGACTTTGTTATAGGAATCAGGTGTGTACAGTCAGCTGCAGTACCACCACTTGTTCTCTTTTAAATGGGCTGGATCATATTTGTCTGATGTTGTAAATAAGTTAAGAAAATACCTTTAAGGTGGATGGATGCATGTAAGCTTTAGCTTGATCTGTGCTCTTGTGAAGAAAGTGACTCGATAAACAGCTTCTCAATACTGCTGTGTAATCTTTGCATGCAGAAATTGCAAAAAGGTGAACGGAAAGCACAGGTGGTGCTGAATTGTTGGTGGTTCGAGTAGAGTGAATCAAATTGACTGTTGATTTAACACGCTGTACTTAAGTTGCCACACACTCAAACTTTTATTACATGTGTTACGATTCTAAATACATCCTGCGTTTTAGCTATGCTTTAAGCTGTTGCTAAAAAGGCATAATACAGTGCATGTTTCAGATATTTAATAAACTATATTCAACGGAATATTAAGCTATGGTGTCTGCTTTATCAGGAAACTCTGAGAGTTAAACTTTGACTATAAACGTGAACTTTTTTTTCCTATTTCTGTAAAGACCTCTACTGTGTCCTTGGAGAAGAAAGAAGATCAAAAATTGCATGTGAAATTGGAGAATGGAGACATGATAACCTTACATTATGTGGCACTAAATATTTGTTTGCTGGTGTGACGTCCTCTTACACTGACATAATATTAGCTGTTCCGCCGAAAAGCTTCCACTGGTTGTGGTTGTATCAGTGAAATTTGCATCGCCTCTTATTTCACTTGCGGTCACTCTATTTCAGAATGCTCGCTTGCACATAGCAGCTGTCTTGTGCCTTGGAGTAAACCAAGGCTGCCAGAAGAGAAATATTTCGTCACTTTTTTTTTGATGGGGGGGGGGAGGAAATCTTTAGGTGGAATGCCGACTGAAATTAGTGTTTTCGAGCCAGATTCTGATTTGTCTTTCTATCCAAGTTTAAATTACAAACAGATTAACAAAATTGTTTGAAGCGTAGCATCATCTGGTTCTGATAAGAGCGAGCCTGATATCAGATGCTGGGGATCTGGTATTTAGCAATAATAGAGGTATTGGGTATTGGGAATATAAACCATGCAGATACCAGACACTGGAATTCCCATGATAATATATTCTATAATAGTTATTTAAGGCAGTGGTTCCAGTAGATGCACACAAAAAAAGCGCAAGGAACGTAATGAGTTTGAATGGAACTACCCACAAAATTTAGTCAATTCACTTTGCATTGTGCTCTGTGAAGTGCTTTGAAACGTTTCGAAGACGCAATAAGGCGCTATATCAAATGCAAGGATTATTATTTACCCAATCTATTGGCATAGTGCTAAGATGTTCACACTCAAAAGAAGCTCTTAGCAGTTTTTATTGTGCATCTTACTGATTTTTTAAAAAATCATTAAGTGCCGTGTTATTAATAATAATAATAATCCTTGCATTTGATATAGCGCTTTTCACGTCGGGAGGACGTCCCAAAGCGCTTCACAGAATATACTGTAAAGTGAATTGACTATATATTTGTGGGCGAACGCGGTAGCCAATTGCGCACAGCAATGTCCCACAAACAGTCGTGGATTGAAAATGACCAATTTATTATTGTTTTTGGTTTTGGAGGGATTATTATTAGGTTCTGTGTGGAGTAAGGAAACTTGCCCAAGGTTTCGCCCTCTGCCTGGAATTGAACTCAGGTCTCTCGCTTGCAAAGCGAGTGCTCTAACCACTGAGCTACAGGACTCCACAGTCTGGCATTTGAGGAGGCAACTCATTGGCACACATTTCAACGGTCTGTCTCTCTAGGTGGAAGAAATGGGCTGATGCAAGCAGTGGACAAGTACACAAGTGGTTATGCAAATATCAAATGAAAGATGCATGAAAATGAGAGAATAAAATTACAGTTAAAAAAAATCTCAGTTTTTCCATAATTCCACCGTTGGATTTCACCATTGCCATCTCTACACACACTTGATTTCTTTAATTGCTCGCTTTTTTTTTTGACTTTGCAACTGGGGTCCAAGCCAGTATCTGATATGAGGGAAAGAACTTTTCTTAACCTTGATTCAAAGACTTAACTTTCAACTTAAAGTAGCTTTAACTTTAACCTAATGCAGCGCAAATCTACCAATCATAGTACTTCTTGAATCTAACTAATTTGCAGATATTTAATACATTCTACCCTGAAGTATTCAGGTGGAAGAGGGCAATAGACAGTTCAGTTGATTTTGAGAGATAGCGAGAATTGATTAGCTATTTACAAAGTGGAGAGAGCGTTAAAGACCCAATAAACCTTTCAAAGAGGCCTGAGATAGAGCAGAACCGGAAAAAAAATACGCTTTAAAGGAATTCTTCATGAATTTCAGATCTAGTTGGGCAGTGCTCGTAGAATCTTACAGCAGATGACACAGCCATCAAAGCCCATTTTCTGTAAAATCTAAAAGCAGTGAATATCCATTGAGCCACCTGGATGGGGTGGTTGCTATCTGGAATCTACAATGGAGTGAGACAAAAACATCTATTCAATATTCAATATGTTTGCAATAATAATAATCCTTGCAATTGATCTAGTGTCTTATCACATCTTTGAGACGTCTCAAAGCACTTCATAGAATATACTGTAAAGTGAATTATGCCTATCATGTAGCAGGCGTTAGTGAAATGGAAGGGGAAACTCAGATGGAATAAGTATTTCACAGTCTTTCACATGGTCACAGTATAAGAGTTATGTAGAGTGATACTGCATTGAAACAGACCATTCAGTGCATCCAGTCCCTTGTGTGTTTATACTCCACACTCTACACCCCTAAACAATCTTGACAAGCAGAGAGAGGATGGTGGACAATGGCTTTTCATACAGATAAATGTAAAGTAATCCGTACAGACACGCAAACTAATTCCACAATGAAGATATAATAATAATCCTTGCATTTGATATAGCGCATTTCACGTCGGGAGGATGTCCCAAAGCGCTTCACAGATCACACTGTAAAGTGAATTGACTATATTTGTGGGCGAACGTGGCAGCCAATTGCGCACAGCAATGTCCCACAGACAGTCGTGGATTGAAAATGACCAATTTATTATTGTTTTGTGTTTTGGGAGGGATTATTATTAGGCTCTGTGTGGAGTAAGGAAACTTGCCTAAGGTTTCGCCCTCTGCCTGGAATTGAACTCAGGTCTCTCGCTTGCAAAGCGAGTGCTCTAACCACTGAGCTACAGGACTCCACAAAGATCCAATTGAGGGGGAGTCCAGAATCTTTCTTGTCGCTCGCTCTGTCAGACGTAGCGTCGGGATATAGAGTATCCCGTAGCTCAATTCAAATGATGAGTCAAAAATGAACTTACCAACCATTCAAGCAGAAACTCATTCGAAGCTTAATGCTTGAATAGCGCTCCCATTATTGAGTCACACACATTTTCAAATCTGATTTCAGAACGAGCAGGTTTGATGGATCTGATCTACTTTCTAATTCAATGCTTTAGATTCTAGTTAACAACCAAAATGCAACTGGTGATTTTCCAGTTCATTGTGGAGTCTTGTAGCTCAGTGGTTCGAGCACTCGCCTCGCAAGCGAGAGATTTGGGTTCGAATCCCGGCAGGGCGAAGTGTTGAGAAAGTTTCCTGACTCCACACGCCTCTGTTTACCCAGCAGTAAGTAGAAACCTGGTTGTTAGTCGATTGGCAGATCGGTTTTCCGGGGGGTAATAACTCCGTCCAGAAAAAAATTATTATTGTGCTTCCACCATAAAGAAAAAAATTAACCTCCTGTTTGAAAAGAGAAGGGAGTGTCTACCGGTATCCTGACCAATAAATCCCCTAAATACAATTAGTCACTTACTCCGTGGCCGTTTGTGGGTCACTGCCGTGCGCAACTGGCTGCTGTGATCGCCCGCAAAACACACAGTCAATATAGTATACCCCGTGAAGCACTTTGAAGCATCTCGATAACATGGTAAATGCAAGGATTATTAATACATTATTGCTCACTGCTTAGTTACAGTCTCTTCATCGATTCAAAGATTAATGCTAGAATCGTACCCCATTATTGATTCGCACACATTTTCAAATCTGATTTCAGATTGACTCTTGTTTTTTTTTGGATGAAAAATGACCACGTTTTAATGGGGATTTTAATAAAAGTGTTATTCTATGCTGCAATTTGCAGTATAGCATTCTTGCCAACACATGAGGAGCAAATAGTTATGAGTGTAGCCGTGTCTACACTTAGGTCGAGAACAAATTGAGTGTTTTAACAAGTTAACACGATTTGGGCGATGAAATATGGGCGAAATGCCATCAGAAGTGCTGCAGCTAATTTTCACATCGAAGGCTTGTCTGTTAAGCAGATGTTAGGAGCCTGGAGATACATGTACAATAACTTGCCAACAAAAAAGGTTGTGGGAAACAAACGGTCTTTTGCCTTTCCCTTCGAGACATTCTGATCATAGCGAGTTTATTCTGCACAAAGAAGTTCAGGCATTTGTCCAGCATTCGTTGGTAAAGGTGAGTTAACGAGTTAATGGCTAGTTATTGATGTGAAACTACCATCAATAATCCAACAGCGCAGTTCATGACTTTGGAAGGTCGCTATATACAGGGTGACCAAAAAGTTGTGATACCATTACAGTGTATCAAAGAAACAATGATATATTTATTTTTGATAATAGAGTGGATATCACAAATCTTTGGTCACCCTGTACTATATACTACACAGTTAGTGTGTTCATAAATTTCTAGGTGCGACGTTTTTAAAATATAAAAATCATCTTTTTTAGGTCTGTGATAGATTTAAAACACCTACGTTTTAGAATTGCCTGTACATTGTATTTGAGACGTCTCGAGAACACGATAGGCGTTAGATCAAGTGTAAGGATTATTATTATTATTATATCCAGTCATAATTATTTTGCAGGATTTGAAAATTATATACCGAATAGGATCATCAGTTCTCCTTAGAAGACCATTCAACTATTGAAGTCCTATTAAAGGCTATTGCGGAGTCCTGTAGCTCAGTGGTTAGAGCACTCGCCTTGGGCAAGTTTCCTTACTCCACAAGCCTCTGTTTACCTATGAGTAAGTAGGAACCCAGTTGTTAATCGATTGGCGGATTGCTTTTCTGGGGGTAATAATCCCTTAAAAAAAAAAATTTGGTCACTCAATCCATGACTGTTTGTGGGACACTGCTGTGCGCAATTGGCTGCCGCATTTTGTTCATAAAATATACAGTCAATTCACTTTACAGTATATTCTGTGAAGCGCTTTGAGACGTCTCGAAGACGTGATAAGGCACTGTATCAAATCCAAGGATTATTATTATTAAAAGTCACGGTCAAACATTAATACAAGCCGACAACAAAAAATTAATCAAGTTCGCTTTTGTCTCCCTTTCTCTTGGGGGCAAAACAGAGCTCAGTATCTCACTCACTGCTGCTGTGAGAGATTAATCGTTAGATTGAGAA